GGCAGCTGGTGAATAGGGGGCGACCGGGGCGGGGAAGGGGGCGTGGGTGGAGCGGCTGTTAACCTTTCCGCTGCCGGGGTGGGATCAGCCAACCTGCGAATCTTCGTCACATCCAAAAGGAAATTTACACTACTGGGCTGGTTCACACGTGCGTGGCCATCACTTGGCGAGGTGAAGCTGAATGTGTGAACGGGCTCCCGTGAAAGCAACTGTGTTTGCTTACGGGCTGCCCCCCACGTTTATGAGGGTCATGAGCAAAGGACCCTTAGGGTGATCTCACCGGATCAGCCAACCTGCGAATCTTCGTCACATCCAAAAGGAAATTTACACTACTGGGCTGGTTCACACGTGCGTGGCCATCACTTGGCGAGGTGAAGCTGAATGTGTGAACGGGCTCCCGTGAAAGCAACTGTGTTTGCTTACGGGCTGCCCCCCACGTTTATGAGGGTCATGAGCAAAGGACCCTTAGGGTGATCTCACCTCTTGGCAGAGTGGGATGAGCCTAGCCTTCTTGCTGGTGGGTGGTGCCCATTCGATGCCAGTGTGGTGTCCATTCTACAGGAGAGGCAGAAAGGTGCACCAGCCAGGGCCATCCAGTTAGACTTGCCAGCACCCACATGCAATGCAATACAGTGCATATATCCTGCTGCCTGTTTTGAGCTGCAGGGAAAACAGGAGTGTCTGAGACCAGGTCTGGCATGGTATCTGCCAGAGCCTAGGGGCGCCAGGCTGTTAGTATTGGCCCTGTGGTTGCCGTTGGGGAGTGCGAACATTCTGTGTTAATTGACGTGTGACAGGTTATTCACGCATGCTGTTTATCACTTGATAGTTCAGTAGCTATACAGTGGATGGATGGGTGGCTTCTTTCCTTGAGATTCACAATTCTTTTTTTAAGTCTTCGGGTGCTATGAGATGAGTACTGTATTTAGATTAGTTCACTCTCTTATTTTGGCAATCACATGACAGAGCCACTGGAGCAAACCAGCCTGTCCCCAGAGCTTCCTACCTGCACCTTTCCAGGTCCCTGTCAGGAGCTTCAACTTTTTTTAGTGTTGGTAGAAGAACTCTGTTTTGGTTCATTTCCAGTGCATGTGATCACTGAAAAGGAACCAATGTGAGCGCCTTCAGCTGTCAATTTGCCAAGATTGTGGTTTAAACACCTCCTCATTGTTTTGTGAGGTTTTTGTTTGTTTGTTTGTTTTAAAGGAGCGCTCAGCCTTTTTGGTGGCCCTGAAGGAAGCCCACAAAGCCCACAAGTGCTCCGCGGGTGGGGTTTGGCCCCCTTTTTTTAAAAAGGACAGTGGCTACAAAACAGTCTCCTGGCTGCACCTAGGAGCGCCTCCATCCCTGGAAAAAGTCAGAGCGGTGTGTGTGTGTGTGTGTCTAGGGAGGAGGCCCGCACCTCCCCTTTCTTTGTTGAGGGGGGGGTCTGCCTTGGGGGTGATGGGCCGCTGAATCCTCCATGCCTATATATATAGAGAGAGAGACTCTGTTAGGTTGGACAAATGTACAGTGTTACAAAAAATTTAAAACTTGAAAACTTCCTCCTAGAAGCAGGAGGAGAAAAGGATGGGCATTTTCCCCTTTTCTTTGACTTGTCTTAAAGACCCAGTTGAGAATCTGTCTTCAGCTGAATCCACAAAAATGTCCCTTATTGCCCTCTCTTGTCTTCTCCCACTTCCAGAAGGAAGTTTTCATATCTATCTATCTATCTATCTATCTATCTATCTATCTATCTATCTATCTATCTATCTATCTATCTATATGATGCAGCACATCTGTGCTGTCCTAATGGACTTTTTAAACTTCCTCTGCCCCTCCACAAAACAGCAAAGGAAATGTTCAATTTACCAGTATCCTGAAGTGGTTCTCTTCTTAAGAAACTTTACAATATGGCAAGTTGACAGCCAAAGAAGTCAGACTAAATAGGGTTGCTTGAGGTCCCATATGCTGTTTGGATGTGAAGATCGCATCTAATGGCATACTGGACTTCTACCCATCTCAAGTGACCCTATTTAGCCTGCACCAGCCTGCTCCAAAAGACTCTGTGTAGACAAGCCCTTAATGAGTTCATTCAATATCAGTATGCACATTCCAAGTTGAAACTGCAGCCAGGAAATCAGAAGATGATTGGGATTCGTAAGGGCAGCAATGAAGGAACTAGAAAAAAACATCAAGAGTGACACCGGAGATCATGGTCAAAATCTTCTTCACTTTTTTATTCCTGATTACTATGTATAAGTGTGAATGCTGGATAATGAAGAAACCCAAAACAATACAAAAATTTTTGTTTGAAATATGGTACTGAAGGAGAGCTTTGCAGATACTTTAGAAGGCCAGAAAGACAAACAAGTGGATCCTAGATCAAACCCTGAACTCTCTGCACTTTCTCTGGAAGCAAAAATGATGAAAGTGAGGCTGTCATACTTTGAGTGCATCATAAGACAACATTTTCTGAAAAAGACAATAACGCTCCTAAAAGCTGAAGGCAGCAGGAAAAGAGGAAGACCAAATATGGGGTGTATTGACTCTGTAAAGGAAGCCACAGCTTTGTGTTTACAGAAGCTGAGCAGGGCTGTCAAGGACATTTTGGAGGTCACTCATTTGTAAGATTACTATAAATTGGAGGCAACGTGACAACACAACAAATGCACATTCCAGAGGGATGTCACTTGTACAAGATTGTCAAATGTGTGGTGGATTTATGGTGGCACATTATTTTGTGTGCTTTCATGAAATGCATTCTCCATTGTCTTATGTATGCATGTGAATGCACATGCTCACACATACACAAGGGTAGAGAAGTGAGACCTGGCAGACTTCGCTGCTGGTAAATGGTGATGTAAAGCTATGGAAATCTTAGTGAACTTTTTCAAGGGCTTCTTTCCTTCTCCCCTGAGACATGTAGTGGGCATACAGTACTTCTGACTTAAGACAAAAACGTGTAACTCCACCTCAGAAATCCACTGCTCATAACAGAAATCTAAACATTTCCAGCTACTAACCAGAGGACATGATACAATTCATTATCTGAGGACCATCTTGGACCCCCAAGTTGTTTGGATTTCTTTCCACATGCCAAAAAGAGGACAAATTATGAAAACTACACAAATCCTGGCTTGCTTCAATAGCCGGATGGAGCCTCTATCTAACTGCAGCCGTTGCTTGGTAGGGGCAGACTTAGGAAAACATGCCACTACCAAGACCGGTTGCATTCCACATTGCCTGCTAGTGGAACATTGAGGTCTCTTCTCTGTTTATAACCCACATCTGAAACATAATCGAAGGACTTTGTTTACCACCAGTGTCACCGAACTCCCCCAAAGAATTAGTCATCAAAGAGTTCTTGATACAAGGCCTTGATCAAGCTATGGTCAGTGAAGTCTCATTCAGAGTGCTTGAAACCTAACAAAATATCCTATGGCTGCTACCATCTGGTAGTAGCCTTCAGACTGTGGACAAAACTACCCTACAATGACCAGTAAGTGAAATATCTGCATGATTTGGCTGAAGTTGGTCAGAGTTGGCCTCACTGAGCCTCCTTAACAGGAGCTGGACTCAGTGATCCAGAGGGTGACTTCGTTTTTCAGTTCTGTGATGAGGAGGAGGAGGAGGAAGAGTAGGATACTTCTACCTACAAGAAAGTTCCCCCCAGGGTCCTTCTCTTGCTTATCCTTTCATCCTTCATGACTCCCTTACCCTAAAGGCTCTTTACTTCCTCCACAAACCATCACCTGGATTAGAACTGTCTATGTAATGAATCTTGAATAAGGGTGCAAAGATGCCCACATATCTCTAAAATATATGACAATCGCACTTATGACTGTGATACAAAGATCTATTAAAAATAAAGCCATCTAATTTGATGAAAGAAGAAGAGAATAAGAGAAGAGGTGGATAGTTGCAACGTGCCTCTTAATCGTAACAAGAATAAAAACAGATACAAGCAGAGGGTCATTAGTCACAACTGACAATTATGCCTGGTTCGTTTTTCACAAGCCACAGAGACGTCTTGGGATTCCATGTTTAACAAGGCACTAAACCCTTAAAAAAAGTCTGAATGCACAAGCAAGTTGCACATTAAATATATGCTCATGCTCACCAGGCAGGATCAGTATTGTTCTAGATCTAATGGCCTCAGTGGGCAGAACATTTACCTACTTCCATTATCGGATTGCAGTGTAGCTCTTCAGGGAACCAGAGGGCTCAAGATTGATGCAAAGAAAGGATATTACAGTACTGTACTTAACGCTTATACTTGCAAATGTAAATACCATCCATTTTCGTTTCCACTTCTCCAGGCATCATTTACAATCAGCATAAATCAACAAGATTTGTTTTCTGTATTGTCACATTGGCAAAGGCTGCAGAAATTATACAGCACTATCAAGCAAAGCACTCCATCATTGCAACTCTAAGTGTACTCACTGGTGTCTGCTAAGCCACTTGTTACACCAAGGCTTCTGGGCTGGCAGAGTCTATTGATAGAAGTTTAATTTTGTTGCAAGTGGCTTGCTTCCAAACAGGTGCCTAGAATTAGGCTTCAATTTCTGTTGCTTGCCATTCAGATACACCTCTCTTTATGTCCAAAAAGGGGGGAAATCAAGTATTTGAGAAGACAAGATTCAGACTATCATCCAGTGACTGCTCTCATGGACCTGGTGGAGAGGGCCTTCCTGTAAGAAACGTAATCATTGTAGAGGTCTGAACTTGGATGCTGATTGTTTGAGGCAATGCGTTGCCCATCCCTCTTCAAAGCCAGAGGCTTTGATCTCGTTTAATTCTAGAAATCCTGTTCGCTGTTCAGGCAACCAACTCTGGACTCTGCCACAAGCTGGCCTCTAGATGGCAGCAAAGTTATACTAGTGCTGTCAAATCTTTTTCTTCCAGGCCTTGTTGATTCCTGGAAGTTGTTTTTTGTTTCTTTTTCCCAGATTCAAAACCTCAGCGTAGAATCGGTTAACATTTCATAGAACAGCATTTTTGACATGTAAAATCATGGGGGAACAACAGTCAGATCATGTAAAGCAGCTTCTGATGCTCACATGTTCATCATTGAGTTTTGTCCCACAAAGAATATTATTATTTTCTACTTCATGAGAGCATATTCAGTCAGAGATCCAATTAAAATCCTGGTGTCTTCAGAGATGCCATATTCTGGCAATTTTCATAATGACTGCATTTATATAGTCTTAGAAGGATTATTTAAATAGGTGTGGGGAGCAAGTAAATTTCCTGTTGTTGGACTTCTACTTCCATCAGCTCTACCAGCACAAGTCACTGGTCAAATAAGGAAGGACATGTAAAGCAACATCATCTGCAGGGTCCTTTTCCCAGACCTCTTGAAGTAGGGCTATCTATGAAAACTTATCCAAAATTTCATCCTTTTTAGTATTAGTATTGTCTTTTTTTAATGATGTAAGGTGCCTTGGGTCCTTTTTTAAGGAGCAAGGTGGGGTAAAAATATTTTCAATACATAATGAAAATAAAAATAAAGCAAAGCAAAAAAGTGGGGTTCTCCTTAAAAACCTTAAAGAAGCCAAATGGCAACTCTAGCCTAAAAACCGGAGTATACTTTAAAATAACAGAGCTTCCCAATTAAGATCGGGGCTGGTTAGTTTTGCAAAATCATTTCCTGCATATATCTGCGTAAACAAATCTAGAATTCCATTTCACAACAGCAAAGCAGCAGCAACAGCAGCTCCTCTATCTCAAATGTGAAATAATCAGTCAAATTTAACTCCTTTCTGGAGGATACAGGTTCCTGGGTAATTTTCCTTTCAATCAAGAGTAGCAGAGGTCCAGCCACCCTTATAAACTGTCTACACTATTATGTACCTCAATAAATTGAGTTCTAGAGGTTATATCAAGCCCACTAATATGCCATCTGTCTATACTACTCAGAGTAGTTTGACACCCATTAAACTGACATGGCTCTATTCTATGGAATCCTGCAGTTTGTAGTATGGTGAGGTGCTTAGAATGTTCTGTTATAGAGTTCTAGTGCACTGAACCCCTCAACTAGAACACAGGATTCTCAATACCTCACCAAACTACAAATCCAAGGATTCCATAGGATGGAATCATGACAGGTAACATGGTATCAGACTGCTAAAACTGCATAATGTGGATGCTCTGACTACTCTCTCTCTCTCTTTGAAAGGCCAACATTTTTCCCATACCAAAGTTGCCAATCTGGCAGAAAGAGGCATAAAACACAAAATTAAAGGAGAAACACTTCATTCTCACACCACCAAAGAATCTAGGTGGGAAGGATCGAACTGAAGTGCTGCTTAAATAACACAAAGCTTGGGGGGGCTTCATTATGAAGCTAAGTAGCCATCACTCCAAATCAGCACTGAAGCTTTCCTTTATGGAAAAAAAATGTACATAAAATAACATTACCTTTTAGCAAACATTAATTTACTGCAGTCATAAATATAGATTCCTTCCTCCCCTGCTAACAGCACAAGAATGATGACAAGCTTCAAATCCTTTTCAACACTGCACTGTCTTCTTCTCTCCATCCCTTTTGCTGCTCTCCAGGAACTTAGGGAGCAGGGCAAAATTTAAAAGTGCCTTCATAATTGTAGGAAGGGGTTCTTTTTGACCAAGACGGGGGTTGAATTATTTTCTGGGAACAGATGGTATCTTACTTAGGCAGAGGCTACCTACTGCAAACCACTATTGCTGGAAACAGCTTGCATTGCCCTGGAGCCAGATAATAGGTTTAGAAGGGGACTGAAAGCAGCCTGAGGAAAGCATTGTTTCCAATTACTGTATATGTATATGTATATATATGCATACATCACAAGCAACAAATTCTCTTTCAAACCAGTTTTAGGTCTCAAGAACAATTTTGGCTGTGTCCAGCTTATAAAGTGTGTATTTACTGTGATTTTTGTCTCTGATTTTAAGTTTGTTTTTAACTTCTGCCAAGCTGAAAAGCTTTTCGGCAACTCTGAACAGGATGAGCTGGAAAACATTTGAAGCACAATCTGGAGGAAGAGGCTGTGTGTGCAATATGCACACAAAAGAATTACCAGAATATTCTTGCAAAACTGTATTACTCTGCAAGACAATTGCCCATGGGTATCTCCAGGAAAGACCTCACCACTGGGATGTCTGAGATGGAAGCAAAGCAGCTTTTTGGCTTCAAGGGTGAAAAGCAGTGTTTCAAACAGAAGTAGAAGCATAGGCATAGACAGTAGGCAACTGAGGAAGAATGGGTTCCAAAGAAGCCTTTCCTATTTTTGCCACTTCCTAGAACAAATTTTTGGTAAAAAATAAATAAATAAATACCCATGAGTTTCAACCTTTTATCAGCTCTCTTCCTAACTCTGCATTCATAGGGTGAAACACCAGCTCCCAATCTACACTTCTTCTGGGGACACCTCTGGCAGACCTGAGCCCCCTTCTTGAGTTGAACTGCTTTGTATTGTGCTTTACTCTTTCCAGCTTTGTATTGTGCTTTACTCTTTCCAGCTTTGTATTGTGCTTTACTCTTTGGGATGTGGCAATCTGAACTGGAAGTCTTATAGCTAGCCCTAAAGCAGAGAGGCCACATTTCTTGCTTCCTGCCAGCACCTGGGACTATAACCATGGAACCTGAAGCTTTATGAGGATGGTATGACAACAGAAGGATTTCTTGGTTTGACTCTTTCAGCGGTCACTTTAGGCCTAGGTCCAGCCTGAGCCTAATGGACTGAACGGAAAGAACAAACCCACAGTATCTGTTCCGAAAAAATGTAGATCTCAAGACTCCCCTATACAGCACATGCATTCCCCATATTTTGAGGACGTGGAGCACCTCCCAAATCCATGTTGCCTTCAGAGTTTTAGCCGTCTCCATGTGCACGGTAGCTGGTCTGGAACAGAGTTTCAAGTGGATGGGCCTTAGGGTGTGGTCCAAAATCATTTGGGAGATCAACTCAGCTCACAAACTGCCAGCAGAGGAGGCAGCAGCGGCAGCAACGGTGGCGGCAGCAGCAGCGGTGGAAGTGGCAGCAGCAGGAGGGTCTGTTACTCCAGGAACTTGTGAGTGTCGCCGTTCAGCTGGTACTGTGGGCCCATAGCAGTTTCACTCAGTGGCGGGCAGTGAGCTGGACCACACTGGCAAGTGTGGATCATCATGATGTTCTTGGCAAAGGAGCTGCCATCTGGGCAGTGGAAGGGCACGCTCAGGGTGCGTGTGCGCAACGGCACACAGCAACGCCCATCCAGACAGGCCCCACAGAAGCTGGGTTGATAACGCCGTGGGCTCTTGCAGCCGGCATAGGTGAACCTCACTGGCTCTCGCACCTTGTGCGTCCTCAGGCATTTCTTGCCTCTCTAAGAGAGAAAAAGAAAACAGTGGGTCATAGACAGATGGTTCTCCATTCGTTGGAGCTTGGTCAACATAGCCCTGTGAATCTGAACAGGAACAGACAACCTGGTATCTTCCTGTTGTTACAGGTTATAACTCCTATCATCCCTAGAATTATGGCTTAGAATTATGGGAGTTGCTGTTCAAACTAACTAGTGTCACCTGCTCTTGAATGAGAACACCGTAATATTACATGTGTCTCACAATTCAACTGGGGAATTTATCTCCTTTATGTCCCAAACAGTGGTGGGCAGCTGGTTGCTCCAGAAGTTTTGGCCCTACAACTTATATGAGCCCTAGCCAGCACAGCCAATGGTGAGGGATTCTGGAAGCTGTATCTTAAAACAGGAAGAACCACTGTTGCCCAGCCATATAGTAGAGGTAGACATATACCTCCTACAATTCAGTAGGCCTCATTGCCTATTGGCAATCCAGGGAACTGAAAGTTGTGGCACTCAGCCTTCCTGTTAGAGTCCTTTTTTGAAAAAAAAAAAAAAAGGGGGTGTGGGGGAATTGCGGGGGGGGCGACTACAGGGATGTTGGCAGAACATTTGGGCCTCTTGAGGATAGCATGAGGCCCATAGGCCTCGTATTGCCCAACCCTGTATTAGATTTTTCAGTTCTTGATTTGAGAAAGGCCACCATTTAAAGTGCTTTATGAGAGCATGCAAGGCCAGGCCCTGAAGCAGTGCCAACTCTCTCCCCTCCACCACCTCACCTTTAGTTTGGTAAAATCAGGTTTCCCACAGGGCCTGATCTGACACAGGCGAGTCTCTTTAATCAGCTTGCACTGGGGATTGTCACTGGAGATACGAGTGGAAATGCCAAAACCACAGCTCTTAGAGCACGGTGACCACTGTGTGGTCTGAGCCAAGCATTTGTGCTGCTGTTTTGCAATGTGACTCTGGAAAGGCAGTTTCCATGCTACAGAGAGAGAGAGAGAGAGAGAGAGAGAGAATGAGAAAAAAGGGGGAAGTCTCATTATTCAACTTTCATAATGATTCAAAAGCAGGAGCACCAAGAAAACCAATGAGGAAACAGCACCCCTATATGATGTCGAACAACCACAAGACTGAGAAGGATTTTGTTTTTTACAAAGAGTTTAAAATAGGAAGAGACAAACAACAGTTGTTATGTAGTTAACCTTTGTCAGGAAGACCCAAAATGCAAAATAAAATCAATGTGTAACACAGCCCAATTGAACAGAGATTTATGGAAAGGGATCAATTTTTTAAAATATTTGTTACCATTAAAAATGAAAAAAATTGTGATGAATACCAAGTTTTATTTGGCAAAAGCTTTTCCAGATTGCAGCCACTTCATCAGATGCCAACTATGAAAAAACATCAAAGTCAATTACAATCCACCAAAGCTTATGTCAAAAAAACTTGGTAGCTTTTAAGGCGCCATGATATTTCTTGTTGCTTTTGTCAAAAGACTATCACAACCCATCAAATTTACTTAAAACTGAGTAGATATTTGCAAGGGGTAAAAGTCCCATCTTGCCTTAGCCTCAGGAGGTGCAAGACCCATTTTCTGGGAAGGAAACTTATGCATCCCTATTTAAGCACTAGAAACTACAGAGGAGGCCTTGTAATCAGTCGAGAACCTGATACGGAAGGGAGATTAGTACTTGGTGATCAGACCAGGACTGAATGTTTTCTGACTCTACCCTTCTAGCTACAGAAATAAAAATGGGAATTAAAAGAAAGTCAAAGGAAGGATCTCATTTCTTGACCCACAGGAGCATCCAGTCAGATCTTGAAAGAGCAAAGAGTAATTCCTATTTTGTTCAAGATCCTAATCCTGTTTAGATGCAATCCCCAGCACAAGTGCTAGTTTTCCATTGCCTGCTTTTGGAGCAAAACTGTACAGCTTAGCTGGTTGCATTTTATGTGCTTATTCTCACAACATGTCATTGCCAAAGTGCCATGTCCACAGGACTTCATGGCCACACCTACATGGAGAGTAAAAAAAAACAAAAACAAAAAACGTACAGGCAACTGTGCTGATCTGTATTTTAAAAATGTTTTAGCAGTTCTTCAGATTTTGTGTTACACCTAATGGACCAAACCCCTATAAAATGCATGGCCATTACAAGGGATAGCTCACAACTGGAAAGACTGGGGTGGGAAAATATGGAAGAGACTGTCACTTTCACTGCTAACAACACATTGAGGTGCTTTCACTCTGTTAGCCCTTTCCAGTTTAATGGAAGGAGGTAAGGACACCAAGATGGGAACAAAGTGAGGTCAGGATTCCAACAGAATTAATGAACAGGCTGCTGTCTGCAGAAGGATTACCTTTCCAGTTTAATGGAAGGAGATAAAGACACCAAGTTGGCTGATGGGATCAAAGTGAGGTCAGGATTCCAACAGAATGAACAGGCTGCTGTCTGCAGAAGGATTTGGCAGATGGCATATCTGTAGCTTGAGCCCACTGTGGCCCCAGACTTGTAACAATAGCTTTATATTAACTGAATAGGACACTGAAGACCAATACTGTATTTTCAGTGAAGTTGCTGCTATCTCCCTGCACTGCATCTGAAAGGCATGGATGAGGAGCTGCCACAACCAGTGTAAGGAGCAAGCTTGTCACTCAACAGCAGCACCACACAGTCAACAGATGACCCTTATGCCTTGCAACATAGCCAAATGATAAACATCCCAGCTTGATATCTCTAAGTAGATTATTCTTCATGGCACTGTCTGTGATGGATATACGAGACCAACCTACCGTAATGTGAGGGCAGAACAGCAAGAGGTAGCAACTCCACCCCCCATCTCCCTGAATGAAGATGAACAGTGTCCAAATCAAATCAAACAGTTAATCATTTGGTGTCTTTTGGGGACGCCCAAAATCTGCTGCTTGAGGCAGCTGCCTTGTCCTGCCTGTTTGTAGTGCCAGGCCCACAGAGACAGACTCTGTAGAAGTAACCTGACACTAGTGCTTCCTTGCTAGTCAGTGTTCCTACAGGGCAAGTGCTGTCAGCCAGCGCACCACTTATTGGGTAGCTTTTTGATCCAGGCTGTATTGATGCCTCTTACTCAAGGTAGAGAAAAATCCCTACAAACATTTATTAAGCAGATCCTTAGAGTAATCTCTTTTCTCATCCTATCATCAATCTCAGAACTATAGAGCCCTTCCCATCAATTTTCTCCACATTTCCAAAAAATTATATGAATATTTCTCTGAGGCAAATCATATTTTCCCCCATACAGATGTGAAAACAGCCTTCTCCCACCCTGGCACCTTCCACTGAAAACTCTCTGTTCTGGCTAAGGATGGTGGGATTTGTAGAGGCCGCTTCCCTGAAGGAGACAGCAGACCCTTCATATAAATGGGTGGTGTCTCTCCTCCAGTCACTGCAGATGGGAATGAGCAGTCCCTCCCCCTGCCCATTCACCTGGCAGGTTCTTCCAGTGTCCCCCTTTGCCCACATAGACGAGTTCATTGTCATTAGCTTCCCCATGGGAGTTGTAGTCGAAGGTTACTCCTCTGTACTTCTTGGATCCTTTGCTGCACACAAACTTCTTGCAGCACTGGCCAGGGACCTTCAGGAGCCGGGGGCTAGGGCAGCCCAGCAAGGCTAGAGGCAGTTCCAGCGGACAGAGCGGCTGGCAGCCCACAGCCCCATCAATGCAAGTGCACTGATGTTTGCAGCTGGGCTGGAAATTCTCTCCATTTTGGTAGATGCGGCCATTGTATTCACAGGTCCGGCCTTCTTGCTTGGCTGAGAAAGAAGAGGTCAGAAAAGTGGAGGGGAGAGGAGAGGGGGGGAAAAAGAAAATGTTATTTTGGCAGTCAAGATTTATTTATTTAAAGGAAACACTAGACATCCATTACATGAGAGAATCAAACCAGAGGCATTTGGAAGATTTCCCTCAACCATGTGGATTGCATTGTGGCAAATGACCAATAAAGTTGGACCACAGGAGTCCTTTAAAATAAAGGCACCCCCTTGACCTTCAGCATATCTCGCTAGCTCTGCAACACCCCATAACAGCTTGTGCTAAATAAAACTTCTTATGCCAGAATCCTGGTGGTCCATTGCCATGTGCATAACTGTCTGTGACGTAGATGGCCCTTCCTTTCCCACAGCTTTTATAAGAAGGGGAATCCAGTAACCCCAGCACAAATGGTAAACCCAGTCCTGTCCATGGGGCTATTTTCTGCTTGTGTAATTGCAAGCCAGAAGTCACTGGAGCAAGGGTGGAGCACTCTGCCTACACTGCGGTGATGCTCTGCGTTTGCAGACAAGATTCTGCCCTTGGCCTCTAGAGTGCCACAGGAGTCCTTGTTGCTTTCAGGGTTTGACCTTCATGGTGACCAGGCAGCAAGGATGGCATAGCAGGTCAGAGAAAGTAACCTGGAAATGCTGGGTGTGGGGGACACTGCCCACAAGGCATTTTTTTTGGGGGGAGGGAAGGAATAAGTTTGCGGAGGTGTTGAATTCTGTAGGCACATCCCGATGGGGTAATTAGAGTTTTCTGAGTTGGACTTAAAGGGTTCTTATCTTTAGTGCAATCTATGTTATCTCTCAATTGAGCAAGATTTCTGTTCACACTTATCAACATTTTTCCTCCTGCAAGAAGCGGTTCAGACAGGTCTTTGGATCACTCCAAATTGCCCCCCTTTCAATTAATGACACCCCCTTCCGACCCCCTTCTTAATCTTTTCCTATTGAGCTGCAGCAACTTTTTATTGTTAAAGAAAGCAAGTGTCATAGTGAAACAGCAATGCATGGTACACATAATACTGCCAATGTATATCATTTATCTTGAACAGTGCTGCATCAATAGGAAAAATATATTTAAAACCTTTAAAACAGTAGAGTAGGTTAAAGAAGAGGAAAGGGAATTCTTAATCATCTCTTTCAACGCCACAACCCACTTGGGTTGTCACCTCAGATTACACCATCCACAGTTCTATTAGGGTGAAAACGAACCATCCACACAGGCTACAGAATGAATTAATCAGGAGCGCTCTGAATTGCGCCAGAAAACCTCCAGCCCTGGCACTGTGCCCAAAAAGGGGGTAGGTGGGATGGATCACTCTAAGTCAAGCACAGTGTGGAGACTGTAACTTGATTTGAACTAAACAGCACCAAAAATGATCCAAATAGAGAGCTACAGTACACGCCGATTTGGACGTGCTCTTTGCATCAGGCTCTGGTTGGTGGCTCCTGAGGCTTGTGATAAAGAGTAAGTGGCATGGAAGGAGTAGATCCTGGAAGCCAAAAGTCTATCAATTTCTGATCAGAACATGGGAAAGCCACTCTTTTTTTTAAAATGTGATTCACAGAATCGTCCACCCAACAAAAAGGTAACTTTTCCGAGCTCTGCATTTCGTCTGTGTCAAAGCTTACCTAGAATATCTTATTTACATTTTGCAGACATGGAAAACAGACGTCCTCAAGGTGTCAACAATCAAAACAAGAGAAAGCTGACCTACAGAATTGAGTTTTTCTAAAGATAATGTTTTGAGCTTTAAATAGCCGCGTGAAAACAGGATGCGACAGCTCACATGGACTGGGATCAAGTTGCAGCTGCCTATGGCTGACATGGGCTCCAAGCTGGGAGCCTTCTGCTGGACATTGTCGATCCTGGAGAATCTGCACTGGCCTTCGGGGATGTCATGATGTCTCATTTCACTTGCTCTCTTCTTAGCACACCGTGTGTTCCAGAAGTATGACCTTCCTTCTCACACTTTCTAGCAAACTACAGGGCTCAGCCCTAGAGAAATAACTTCTATCTACCATTGAAGAAGTCTCGAGAAGAGAACAAGGCCCTTGCAGAAAGAAAGCTAGAAATGCAAGAAGCTGCCTTATACTGAGTCAGGCCATTGGCCCACCTCGCCAATCACTGTCAACTGTGACCAGGGTTCCAGGCAAGGTTCTCTCCTGTCTCTACCTGGAGGATCCCAGTCATTCCCAGTTGGTCTCCATCTAGGTACTAACCTAGTCCAATCCTGTGCAAGTTCCCAAATCATATGAGATCAGGAGTTTTCAGGGTGGTAGGATGATTGTGTTGTCTCCAATGTAATCTCAAATATCAAAGAAAGAAAGAGAGATGGTGGGGGGACACAACCTGTTTTTATTGCCTATATAGAGCCTTGGGAGAGAAGTTACCACAGATCAGATGGGCAAAGCGAAGCGAAGCGTGCTGCTTATATACCTCCCTATAGCGCTTCAAGCACTCTCGGGGCAGTTTACAAGTTAATTATGCAGGCTACACATTGCCCCCCCCCCCAGCGAGCTGGGTACTCATTTTACCCACCTCGGAAGGATAGAAGGCTGAGTCAACTTTGAGCCGGCTACCTGGGATTGAACCCCAGGTCGTGAGCACAGTTTTGGCTGCAGTACAGCGGTTTAACCACTGCGCCACAAGAAACAACAAATGAGATCCTGTCTCAGCTCAGGCGGAGGCCACCCCGGCCATGCTATTCCTTTCTGCCTTCAATCAGAGGTGGAGGGCAAGGGACATGCCTGTGTTCCCTTCCTGCCCATTTCCCAACCTCATCACACTCTGTCCAAGTGTGTGTGACAGAAAAAGAGGAGAAGGAAGCAGCAGAAAGGAAAGAAGAGACAGAATGCAAATGGGGAAACCAAGGGTCCAAGATTTCAAACCAGCCATAAAGGGAAGCAGCAGCTGGTAGAAAAATTTCAAACGCAGGGCAAGGAGAGGTATACTTTTTTTCCTCTTTACCTAAGTTGTGACAGGAATGAATTGATCGGGTGAAGAAATGGTGTGAGTGAATCCCTGTCTTCATGCATGCATTTGTGTGCATGCATATGTGCATGGGCATATGAAAGCCTGTATCTATGTGCGTGCCTGCCTGTGGGGAGGCATGCATATATGAGTACCCACATTTGCAATGGCCCTGACTGTCACCCAAAGGCTGCTATGCCTTCCACCCCACCAACCACAATAGGCACCAGGCAACCACTGTCCTTAAGAGCTCTCTTGCATCTCCCTTTCCTATGGATCCCAGTGCTGAAGAGCTAAAACCTTTTCTCCCAAACCCTCAGGTTCACACAACTTCAAGATCCTTTCCTTTTCACTGGACATGACAATTATTGGCCAGAATCCTCTCAGGTTTCATGTAACCTGTTGTGGCTGATTTAGTCTAACTAATGAGGTGTCTTGGTGACATGCCTGCTCAGTCAACCAGTCCCTGGCAATATCTCCATGAAGATTCTCAATCATCCAGGTGTGGTTCTTGGAAAGGTGAGTCATGGCAACTGTTTCTTGTTAGGTTGAAAGGGTCCAAGTACTCATCCATGGCTGAAGAAGCTACTTGAGTAGTCCATGGCAAGTGGACTCAAGAAAGAAGTCCACTTGCCATGACTCAAATTCCAGACAATCCTTGGCAGGTTATGAAAAATGTTAAGTAAACACCAACACAATTCTGGGGATCATGCTAATAATTCTCCAGCACCTCTATGTGGAGTTCACACACATTAAGGTGCTGCCTTGATGGCATCACATAACAATCTAACAATTGCCACCACCATTCAGCAGGACACACTATTTTTACAATTCTAATTTCATATTTAAAAAAAGGCAAAAGGAGCTAAAAACACTGGTTGTCATATTTTTGCAGATGAAATATCCAAAAACGGCCAGCATGTTTTTAATGGAATGGAGTGCCAACATAGCTATGACCCTACCTTTCTTGAAACAATGTGTGTTCAAGAGTACCGGGTGAGCCCGGCCTGTAAGGAGGAGAGAACAACTGGAGGTTGGGCCAGGGCACCAAAAATCTGGCGGTGAATCTGCAGACCAGTGTTCGGAAAGTAAATAGAAACACCTTCCGGTCCTGCTCATTTTTCCTTTTGAGAGGGTTGGGGGGGGCACACACTTCCACTTTCTTTTACTTGCGTGGGTGGGGAGTGACCTCACTCTCTTCCCCGCCCACGCCTCAGGGCAGATCTGGATGCTTGCCGAGGGGTGCCAACATGCCTAGCTAGGGCGCTGCAGGGGTGCATGGCCAAGGATGCCCGCCCGCCCTTCGCCCCTCTTACCCCAGCAGATGCCTCGCTGGGCCTCGGGATCGGCCCCAAAATTGCACTCCAGGCCCTTGTGGGGATCGCAAGGGGAGAGCTCGTCACAGTCCTCGTTGAGCTGCCGAGCGCACACCTGGCAGCAGCCGCAGTCGTCCACCCTTCTGCTGACGCCGGGGGGGCAGCGACGTGGGCCGGGGGGGCAGCGGCATGTGGCGGGACAGCGGCAGGCCACCTGGAGAGAGGGGGAAGCGCCCGGCGGCGGGGAAGTGAGAGTGAATGAGTGGGCAACAGAGCCCGCCCAGGGAGATCCGACGGGAGCCCTCCGCCCCACCTGCGCCCCACGCGGCTTGTGGGATCGACTCGGCACCAGTGGGGCGCTTTCAGGGCAGGAACAGGGCGAGCTGAAACCGGCGCCTTTCCGCGGCCGCTGCGGAGGCGATGGGCTCGGCCTCGCTGGCGGAATGTCTTTTTTTAAACGTGCAGCCCGAAAAGAGTTTCCTAGAGGGAGCTGCCTGGCTCGGAGTTCCTCCGTTTTA